TTTTCCAGTATGTACTAGTCCAAGTCCTTGTGAGTTATCCTCATTTCCAAGTTTCAGTAAAAGCTGACTCTGTTTTGAGAACCCTCAGTGTGTAGCCTGGAATGCAGAGCCTGCACTTTTGAAACATAAACACTTTGTCTCGATATAATTTTAGTACTTCTGGAACTCCCCAGGAAACGAAAAACACCAAGAAGCTCCTCTGACAGAATTCAGCTCATATTGAGAACACATATCTTTGCCAGAGGGTCTCTCCTTGCTCACCTAAACCATGAACAATAACCTTTTTGGAGAGCCAAACTTTTACCAATAATTGAGAGAAAACTCAATTATTTGAGTTTGACCTGCTTTGTCCCTTGATGTGAAGTAATTTCTTACTTCATGCTTATAATGGATAATAGTAAAGTATAAATCCCAATTCCACTTTAGCATTGAGAGGTTAAGTGAATTAGTTTAGAAGCTGATATCTCCATTGAGATAAACAGCACAGAGATAGGAAGTTTTCTTTAGGTTTACCATCCTCTGTATTTAAAAGTGATTGAAAAAGTATTTTGGTTGGTTTCCAAAATTAATCATGTTTGAAATACCAGTGATATATTTGTAGAATTGAATACGTTATTTTTACAAAATCTTAACTTTTAAAAAACTGAGTAAGTATTCATCTTGTCTTCTGATCATGTTACTTTCTAAGCACATCTGCCTGGCTGGAGGAGGAAAAAGAAAACCATTTCAATCCTCTTCAACTTGAGGATGAGTTGCAGGGGTGGGGGCAAGGTTTGAGTCTGGCACCTTAAAGATGGAGGCGAGAGCAGGGCAGGGGATAGGCGCTCTTGGGAGCCACTTTTCCTCTCCGGTTAAGCACTCGTGAGAGCCCTGAGAACTGAGTACCTCACAGAAAGTACTCAGAAGTAAAAGGTGAAACAGTTGTGATAGCTCCCATGTTCTAGGCACTGCCCAGCGGGCTCCAGCCAGCTCAGCTCCCCTGATGTTAGAACTTCGCGCGTGCACTAGACAGCCAGCAAGTTACAAAGAGAGGATTTGCATCCAGGAGCCCTAGCAAACCTCTTCTCAAGATATGATAAGGGGGCCATTTTGAATGACAAAATGTCTCTACGGAGAAAAGGAAGTGTGGGCAGCTCTAGCTCCAGCCTGATGGCACTGGGTGTTTACAGCGTCAGGAAGCGCATTTCTTTTTATTTTTATTTGGAGGATAATTGCTTTACAACATTGTATTAGTTTCTGCCATGCGTGCGTGCTAAGCCACCTCAGTCGTGTCCAAGTCTTTGTGACGCTATGGACCACCGTCTGCCAGGCTCCTCTGTCCATGGAATTCTCCAGGCTAGAAGACTGGGGTGTGTTGCCATGTCCTCCTCCAGGGGATCTTCGTGACCCAGGGATCAAACCTGCATATCTCATGTCTCCTTCATTAGCAGGTGGGTTCTTTACTGGTAGGCCACCTGGGAAGCCCCAGTTTCTACCATACACCAACATAAATCAGCCATAGGTGTACAAGGGTCCCCTCCCATCCCACCTACCTAGGTTGTCACAGAGCACCAGATTTGAGCTCCCTGCATCACACAGCTAATTCCCACTGGCTATCTGTTTTACATATGGTAATGATATGTTTCAGTGTTACTCTTTTTTTTTTTAATTAGCAATTGCAATGGTGAAAAACATATAACTGGGGAATAAGAATAAGATGGTCTGAAGGCCCAACTCTGCTACTTACATAACTCTGAAGTTCTAAACTCTTGATTTCTTTCTCTGTAAAATGGAAATGACAACTCCTCCTTCACAGATTTGCAAGGATTACATGAGCTAATATACATGCCACTGTTGTGTAGCGTGCTTGAGCCACTATCAGACATTATTACCCTAAAGAGGAAAATTATCAAATGTAAAACTACACTGTTTTTGGTAATATCAGTATAGCTGGCAACCGTATTTTAAAATCCTATCAGTTGGATTTCAATAACAGTATTACAAACCTCTGCTTTACCTCATTTTCACCCAGGTTCTTGAAAGTTTGTTTGATTAAAATATTAAAATTCTGTCTAAATAAATACCACTCTTGAAATACTTTTCAGTCATTTTATTTGTTGAAAGATAATAGCAAGTAATGTCTTGCAGAAGACAGTAAGTAGTGCTATTTACTCGCAGTGATTATAATTTTTGTATTTGCTTTCTTAATCTATAGCAGATGTGTGAATGGCATGGCTTTGTCCCACCCCACCCCCAAAAGCTGAGTGCAACATATGGCTGTGAATCAGATTACACTCTGGTTGAGACACAATGAAATACTCACATATCCGTGAAGAAAATCCAAGTTTGCTGTTATCTTAATTTTTGCTAGTTTATTCAGCCTGCATCTAAAACATGATTTTGATGTTGTTATTTGGCTAGGAAAATTAAAATCCTAAAGGTGAACAAAATTTTCCAAAGAAATATTATATTAAATTTGTAAATCTAAGGTTACTGACAAGGAAGCACGTGTATTAAAATTTTAGTGGCTTTGACAAAAATAAAAAATAAATAAAAAAATAAAATTTTAGTGGCTTTGAAAGTTAATGCCTGTCAGAAAAGCCCATGGAGGGGCATTAATTAAATGTATTTCTGATATGGCAATTACAGAGTAGAAATGATTTTGCAATCTGATTAGAAATGTTAAGATAAAATTTAAAGATTAAATTTGAAAGTTTAAAAATAAAAATTAAGATAAAAAATCATGACATCCTCAAAAGAGGCCTATCCATAATTTATTAATGGAGATATCACAACTACCAAACTGCAAAAGCAAATGTGTTTTATTCATGGACCTTATACCATTAAAAAGTGTAACTGACAGAGCCTAACACTGATGAGCCAAATGGAAAGTGGAAAAAAAACACTGCTGAATCTTAAATTCTGGTCCTCTTTTGCTTATAAATATCATAAGTGTATATGTATTGAGCATAAATTGAATCAAATCTCTACACAAATACTACTTCCTTCCCCCCAGAAAAAGAAAACTCGAGGAGCTGGAAACATCTGTGGCTTTCATTGAACATCAAAAGATTTTGCTACTTAAATTCCTCTTACTAAGGTTTGGAAGAGCTGATGACATTCTGTGGTTCTGAGAAACCAATTCCTTTGAATCTCCTGCAGTGATTTCTTGCCCTTCTCCCCATCGGTAACATGAAAAAGGCAGGAGACCAACAGGAGAATGCATAAGTATTGTTTCCCAGTCCTCAGTCCTTGAGGCTCAAGTTGAAGTCAGGATGAACACTGAGGTGCAGTACTTCCTCTGCAGGACTTCACTACCACCCCACGACACCCGAACACCCCTTTTTGGGCTCAAACATCAGCATCCGGGAACAGATGACCTGTCTTAGCCACCCGAGAATAAATCCCAACAGGCAGGCAGAGACAATACCTGAAAGCAACCATATGGCAACTCAAAGGCTAAGTGGTCCTGATGTAGCAAAGGTGAGAACTTCTTCTGGGATCACGGAGAGCATTGGGGTTTGGGGGTTAGTCAGAAGACAGGGGCGTTCTCTTCCCTCCCAAAGACAGAATTTGGATGCATTGTTATCTACTATTTTAGGAAACTTGTTCAGGAATGAATTGCATTCTTGCAGGTTAGTCTTTATAGAAGGAAACAAAACCATTTGCTTCATAAGTGTTTCCAGCACACCACAACTTAGAAATTTGGTTCTACTAATATCAACTATGTAAATTTAAGAGAATGAGACTTTCCAGTATTGGGCACAGGCTCTAAAGAACCCTGCTGGAGGAAGAAGTAACAGCATCATTTATTCCCCATGGTCCCTGGGGGATCCCACTGCACCTTGGGTAATGAGCATTTGTTTCAAAAGTCAGAATCACCTCTCTCCTGACAACCATAATTCCTTTTATTAAGCATATTTTACTGAGCGTTAAACAGCACAAATCCAAATGATAAAGTGCAGGCCAGTGCACAGGCCTGTCGTTCAGTTCAGCTTGAGTGTGAGTGTATAGGGACACACACACACTGATACACACACCCAGAATCTTGCACATTTTACCATCTTTTGACTATAGCATTTTATAGAGCTACGTATCTTAAAAATAACAGTCTGGTGCACATGCATATATGCTTTCTTTTCCTGGTCAAATGCAGCAAGGGAGATTTATTTTAAAAGAAGAAAAAAAAAGACACCAGTAGGTTCATCTAAAAGGAAGCAAATTAAACAGAGCTATGCTGATAACAGCTGATGTCTGGTTACAATCCATTGCTCTAATGCTGATTAATATATTCACAAACAAATCAAATGTATTGCCAAAAGAAAAATGCTGCTGCTAACACCCCAACAGCTACTAGTTTCAGCTGTGCTTCTCAGTCAGGCAAAATGCTCTATCCCCAGCTCCTAAAGCTATTTATTTTGCTTCCTGCCAATCTTGCAAATAATTCATCTCATGTGTCATTTCCTCATAAATGCTTCCTGGTGCTTGATTGCTTTGCCTGTTGGCATTTGATTTCAAACTGCCGTTTTACCTTTATAAACATTTAGAACTTTCTAAGCGTGATAAGAATGCCAAAAAGCATGCAAAAATGAGGCTGTAATTAGATCAGCAGAGTATGCTTTACAGCCTATCTATCTTTCTCTGTATACCAGAAATCTCTCTTTGCATCCAATATTGCATTCCCAATCTGGGTGCAGAACAGCAAATTAACATTTACTCCAGCAAAGAGGCCCTGGTATCAACATGTTTAATTTATTATTATTGCAAAGAACAGTTTTCCCATGATTAGTGAAATAGAATACATATAATATATTTAAGGATCCGTACTCAGACCACATAAAAGGGGATGGGGAAAGGAGAAAAGCAGAAAACAAAAGAAAAAACAGAAGTAATATCAGTTACCACCTGATTTTTGTGGTTAAAAAATAGACTATGACGTGCAATAGTGCAATTTTCCTTTGCTAGTCCAGCAATGCAAGTCTTAATAGGAAGTCCACTGAGGATTTTCTGCACTTCAGGATTTAGGTGTGCGCTTGCCGGGAGTTAGAGTTTCTGCCAGGCTTCTGACTCTGAGTGGAATCACTATGGCTAGAATCACTTTTATTCAGTCCAAGATGACGGAGCTTCATATCCCAGCGCTGTGAAATTTAAAACAGAAAACAGTCACAAGCATTACCGGGGCCATCATTTCTATTATTCTAACAACTAGGACTGCAAAATCAGATCTCAAAAGCATTTTTACTACTTTTCCGAAAGTATAATCTATATCCCGGGGGTAGCAATGAGATGGATGCTATGTAAATGTAATACTTTAATTTGAAAAAGAACAAAACTGGCCACCTGTAATATATCAGTAATGGTTTCATATCAAATTTTAAACTTAAAATCTCCATGTCAGTAAATGGTGACACAAATAAACATTGATATCTGTGGGTATTTCCTGAGGTAATATACACAAGTCTGGTACCTCATGGGTGATCAACAAATATAAGATTTCCATAGAGAATTTGAAGAAAGTGCTATTTTTAATTTTCTTCTCTTGTGACACATAAGGGCACAGCCTTTTAAACCTAAGTGATTTGAGCAGTGAAAAAAATGAAAGTGGGAAGAGAGGATAGGGTACTTTAAAAATATCTTTCTAAGTTATATCAACCAAGTACACAAAACAGAACAAATGTATGCCCTCATTCTAAGTTTTATAAAGGACCACATCACAAATGGTTTTAAAAACTACAATCAAGTTTACTAATGCTTCATACTGACAACTTCAATAATGCTCACATGTAATATAACAAATTAAAAGGAGTTATATTATGGATATTATAGGTAGTAAATAAGAGTTACATATAAAATTCCTAGTCCATAACAAATTCTCAATTTTCAGTTACTTTCAGTAATTCTTCATTTCAGCACATTTTTACTCCACAATTTTATTGGGTTTCCATATTTTAAAAAACAGTCTGATGTTCTGCTCCCCAAGGTAAGTCAAATATCTTGATTTGAACAACATCTTATAACAAAGACTTAAGTTAAAATTTTTTTTTGCATGGCAAGACCATAAAAAAAAGTTTTTATTGCTCTTGATCTACCCAAAGAGGAAAAAAAAAAATCAGCTGAGTACAACTCTTATTTGAAAAAAAAACCAATATCCTCCATAAAACTCTTTCTTTACATCCTCAAAATTGACTGGAAAACCACAGAAAGAATTAAAAATTACTCAAGTTATTTCTCCCATCAGCAACCAGATGAAAATATAAGTGATTTCACAATAACTGAGAGCTCCCTGTAGAAAGCAATGGGAAAAAAAATGCTTGCCTAACTAAGGAATGGGACCAAGAAGCCATGATGTCCTGTATCTTTACATGATGATAATTGTTTTGGTACCAAAAGAGAAGCAGCAAGCCATGTTACATGCTTTGCAGCAAGGATGCTGAAAGCTTTTCCAACTGGTACAGGAATTTAGGACAAATTCCTGCTCTGCATTAGCAAGCAGAAAACTGAATTAAAAGGACAGTAAGAGATTCCCACATACTAAAGAAGAGCCACTTTTTAACAGACACCAAACTACTTCAAAAGAGATACAAATAGAGAATTCTCGTAAGTAAACTTGAAATACATCACATTTTTGACATAATACTGAGGGGAATAAAAGAGCGTATTGGAGGGTATTTTCTCCCTGCAAAATAATGCCCTCTATATTTTTGTAGGTCACTTAAACTGAAATGTGTCTGCTGTGTCAAGTGCCAGATGTATGAGATAAACTGCCCAGGGGTGTTTAACTTACCCCATAAATGCTTCCCAAGCCTTCAAACTCACAGAAGGAAGAGGATGTATTATGTCTAATACAGTTCCCACTCTCCCCTCCCTATCCTGACACTGCATGTGTGCATGCACACATGCACACACACACACTCACACACACCCTTTTTGATTCTTTATCCCTCTGAATGCTATCTCCACACTCCTTTTGTTGAAACGGATTTACTTAGTAAAAGGAAATGATACCTTTCATAATAAGCTGGTTTACTGTATTTTTCTTAAAATGCATCACTTGCAGAATCTAAGAGTCATTGGTTTTAAAATAAAGCTACGTTACTGCTCTAAGAACCCAAGTTGGTCAGATCTCTTACATACAGATGATTGTGGCTGCACTTTGTACACAGGAACTGGTGTCTACACACTGGGACAATATCCACAGTTTTATACCCATGCTTTATTTTTCCCATCTTCTCTGACTCACAGAACTGCAATTGTTCAAGGAATCAACAAATCCAGCTAAAAAATAAAACAAAACCCTACATTTTCCAGCTTCTCTTGCAGCTAGGGATGGACCCAGTCCTAAGTAACATATGGTTGGGCAGGACGCTTGGAATCTCTTTTTACCTCCTTTTCTTTTCCCCTGAAATGTAGGTGTGATGCAGAGGTGGGGCAGCCATGCTGTGACCTCCAGCTAAACTTGATTATGGAAGCAATATCTTTAAAAATGACAATATCTTCTAGCTTATTTAAAAATAAGCTAGAAGGAGCCTGGAGCTCTACTGAGAATATGAAGCCACAGGAACAAGGCTGGACTAACTACAGTTAGATTTCCCACAGTGAGAAGTCAGGTATCTGTAGCTAGATCTCTGATACACATACAGAGAATTTGCTCCTTAAATGAAACAGACATTACAGACAAAGTTGGGTTTTGAAATAAAAAAATATATATATATTTAATATTCCAAAACCTGACTTTGTAATGTCTATAACACACACACACACACACACACACACACACACATATAAATATATCAGGTTTTAATATTTTTCATGTAGTTGAAGGTAGTTATTTTGTTTAAATGACAAATGGCTGGCTTTCTACTTTAATTTTCTGGGTATCACTTTCAATATAAAATTCAGGCTGAGACTTCCCTGGTGATCCAGTGGATCCACCTTCCAATGCAGGTTTGATCCCTACTCAAGCAACTAAGATCCCACAGGCTGTGGGGCAACTCAGACCCAATGCAGCCAAACAAATAAATAAATAACTTACTATTAAATAAATAGTAAAATAAAATTTAGGCTTACCTTAACTTTTTTACCAAGTCGATCCTTCCATTTCTCAGCAATAGAACCTTCCACCAACAGTAATCTGTATTTTAAAGAAGCAGCCATTTTTGAAAAATTAAAACATATTACTGAAAAATACAAGGAATCATTGTCAAGAAGCACATACTGTTTATACTAGAAAGGGACAGCCATGTTTTAGTAATTCTCAACTACTTGGGAGTCATGGACCCCTTTAAGAATAAACGAAGTTATGATCCCTCTCCCCAGAAAAATGCACAGCTAGAAATTTCCCACATATACTTTCCTATCTAATACATGAATTGAAGGATCCAACTAAAACTGATCTTTAATTCCCCAGAAGGTAGACAGATCTCAAAGAACAACCCCCAGAGTCAGATCTCTAAAGAAATGCAATAAGCATAGGCTGTGCATAGAAATTATTCTGAATCCTCAAGGAGTGAATCACCTGGAGCGCTCTTCATCTTCATAGCCCATGATGAGATACTCTTCATTAACGTTAAGTGGGGGACACAGGCAGCCAGAGCTGGTGTAAAGGTTCACAGTTTCCCTTGGAATGTTCACCAGAGACGCCTTTAAAATCTCCTTCACCTCCACCACTGCAGTCACATCATGGCACTTGGTCTTTACTTCTTTAACTTTAGCCCGAATGACTGGATAAAAGACAATAAAGCTGATATGGCAATATGATACACAAGAGGTGCCCCATTCAAAAAAGACAAGTAGACTTCTTTCTAGCCAATTCATATCCACTTGATGTTCAATGAATGGAGAGAAAAAATCAGGCAGATATTTTCTCCTTAGACAGTAGTGAGTAACACACTATACAGCACACCTGCCCCTTAATATTCACCCCTGATCCCCGGCAAATTTGCATGTGCATTTATATTTGTGTGTATATATGCATATGTATGTGCATGTATTTCATGACAAGAACTGTTTAGATATGTACAGTTTCAATTGTGCCAAGAGGAATTTAACCCATATTAGTTTCACTATATGTAAAGACCTACCACCTAAATATGCTTTGTTTCACTCTCAGCATTTTTTCTATCAGGTCTATTAATAGATTTTCTAACCAGTTAGGGTTTTCTTTAGTGTCGTAAAGTTGTCCTGTTCCATGAAGTTCTCGGGCTAGTTCTGCAATCTTTCCACCCTTTTCACCTTAGCTCATTGTTCAGACATCAGCCCCTTTCTTCCTCTGTTTCAGTACAGACTATCTTTCACACTCTCCTTTAGGTATACTGCATTTTCTGCTTGAATAGAAACCATCCCCACTCATGTGCTATGAAACAAGGTCTAACACATCAATTGCATTAATCTACCGTCTCAGTGGGTATTCTGGCACCCAGTTTATCTCATAAGGTTGGACATGACTTCTCAAAATAAAGACAAAACTGCTTTAAAAAGAATAAATTCAGTTGCAAATTCAAAACATTTGGCCCAGAATCTAGAAAGTACTGTTCTGCTTCTTTTCTGTATTTCTCTCCTTTGGAAGAGCCAAATTCTTTAGATTCCTACTTCGGGTAAATGAGCTTTTTACTTTTTTTTCCTAAGGGGATTTTGAAAAGGCCTAAGAAGAAGCAAAAAATGTCAATTAGTAAGAAGCCAACAGCTTTTGCCCAGGCAGCCTCATTGCTCTAGTTCAATATCCATGGACTTTATACAGAAGAAAATACAACATATACAAATGAATGTACTTTTTAAAAGCCTCTTAGGCACATATCTGCCAACCACTTTCATCTGAGTTCCTTCCCACATATTTTAGGGGTTTTGGACTACAAAGGAAAAAGTAATCCATGAAAATATAAAGCCAGCTAATAAACCACTGCCCCCCATCAATGCCCCAATTCCATACAGAAATTTATTCAATAACATTCCATCAGTACAAGACACATACAAAAAGATTTAAGCTACTAATTCTAAAAACTTTAGAACAAAACCTCAATTTTGCTTCACAGGTATTTCAATCTTCAGAGAATTAGTTGTCTCAAGTATGAGAGCTTATAGCAAACAAAATGTAACTGCCCAGCCTCTCTGCTTGGTGTGATTTCTGAGTAAAGGGGTCTTTTTTTATTAGTGTTCTATTCTTATTTTAACAAAAGATAAGGTTGCCCTTTTTGAAATGTCATTTGGGAGAACCAGATGATAGATTCACAGCCCCAGCTAGCACACATTTTTGTGTGTCCTGGCTTATGTGAATGTGCTTCACAGCATTCATCAACTATTAGAGATTAGTGAACTGTGCAAACGTTCTCAAACTAATGATTTATTTACCCAGTGTGTCTACTATTTTCATTAGAAATTTTTAGCACATGTACCCACTCCAAAGTAAATACCTCTCTACAAGACTTACTTTATTATTCAAGTAATTTTGTTAAAGCTCAAGAGCTTTTAACTGAATTAATCTGAATGAAGCAGAGGTTTCATCTGAATTATCAATTTGCTCCCGCCTCCACTTTGTTTTCTCAACAGACACACAGAGATATTTAAGAAATATAAAAGTCAACATATTTTTAAATTTAAAATAAATTTTTTTTTCAGAAGTTTTCCTTCTCTTTTATAATTTCAGTGCCTGTCTTTCTCAAAGAAGCTCTGAGTAAGACTTAGAGAAGTGAAAATTCTTAAACTATGGGAAATCTAGTTATTGTTTAACCATGAGAAAGAAATTATCTTTTTTCCACTAACTGTGATCTGTATCCTATTTTCTGTTATAATATTTACTCAGCTACCTTGTTAGAAGATTTTCTCTTCCTATGACTTGTAACCATTTTATCTTTTAACAAAAATAGTCACACTAACCATTGCAGCACTGAGACTGGATAAAGTAAAAATTAATAATAAGTAAAACAAATACAAACTAAGTAAAATTTCCCAATATAAAATTTTTCATGTTTTTGTCTTTAATACAACTCATTAACTTAAAAGTTCATATAGCATTTTTCAATCTTACAAGGTTAATCTCCTAAAAATTAAGTTTCCTTTCCATGTGATATTTCACATCAATTTATAGAGGATAGCGTCCTCAGATGAGCAGCCAGGCATCTGATTTCTTACATTTCCACCTTACAAAGTATGTCTACCATTGGCTAAGAGAAACTATAGATTCCTCTAAAGATAATTAGTAAACAAAAAAAATAAAAATTGAATCCATTGAAGAAAAATTTGAGAAGCTAGCTATATTTATTTTAGAGAGATTTAACTACACTGAATTTTTTACTTGATATCTTTCAATATACATTATTTTCAAAGATATCAAAGGTTATTCTTACAGAGATTTATCCATTTCTCTCCTTCCAATTCCCAAATAATAGAAAAGGAGGAATAATTCTGTTGTGTGTGTGCTATATTCTCTAAAGTAAACTCAATAATAAAGCCTTCACTTTAGTAATGAAGGCACTTTATAAATCCATTTAATTGCCATGTTTATTCATTTACTCAGCATTAATAGTCTTCGGCAGAGAAAGTAACATGAACTTTATTAATCTCATAAATGCCAGAGTGGAAGAATCATAATAAAATACCAATAGCATACAGCAAATACTGATTTGTTGCTTATTTTATCAACTAGCAAACTCTATTAATTGACCCTTCTAAGTATAACGGTGATTGATATTTGTGACTCTGAAGCATTCCAATACCCAAGAGTACATTCTGGATAATTAAAGGAAGGATAACTTAGGTTCAATAATCGCTGATAAAATAGGGATAATAGAACGTTTCATGGTGCAGTTGAGAAAATCACCTAAGACTGTGTATGGAAATGACCTAACACATCACCTGGCAGGAGAAGGTTTCTCCTCCCCCGGTTAAATTTGTCAGCTACATTTAGATCGGTAGCTCTTCAGGTAACACTTTGCTTATCAGACAGCAGGTGTCTAGGTCAGGCTAGATAACAAAACATTTCATTGAATACTAACAACCTCTGTGTTACTTTCCAATGCTGTCAATGTTTTCCATGAGATAGAATGTTTGAAAAAATCCAGTTTGACTCTTTTAACCACTCCTTATGCATTGAAGTGCTCCTCTGTTTACCCCACTAACTGTTCACCCCAGTGAATCACAACTGATGACCCGCTGCAGCTCCATATCCTTGCCGGCCTATCAGAGAGGGAAGAGCATCTCTCAGCTGCCTGTGTATGTCACTGCATGGTCCTAAGATGCCAGCAGTGCTGCCTGAAATGCATTACAAAATCAAGCATTTGTTAGGAATAGTGCCCATATGAGACATTTTAATTGTTTAGAACAGGGAGATTATACTCTTAAAAGTTGTCCTTGCTTATTCATTTTTAAGCCTTATTCGTAAGTTGTTCTATCAATCTACACATACACACACAAACCCCTTTCTGAACCTAGCAGTTCGTAAGTTGATCATATCCTTACCGTAGTTGTAATTGTTTCGGAAATAGGTCTTCTGTGTAGCTCTGACTGGTTTACATTTGCAGCGTTCTAAAAAACATAACATTTTATCTATTATGAGCAAAAGTTCAACGTTAGCTTTCTTTTGTTTATGCATATTTTTTGGTAAGATCAGACCCAAATCTAGTAGCAAAGAAGCTCATATTCTCTGTGTCTGGTCCTTTTTTCCTGCAACTACATTCACATTTATTCTGTCTACAGAGCTGCCTATTCAGTGTCAAAGTTCCCAATCCTGAGGAAACACTGTTCACCACCGTGCATGAAGAGACCATGAAGCCTGAAAGTGCTCAGTGCTCAAGGCAGTTGAATGAATGCCAACTGAGAGGCAAATGATGCTTAAGCTCAAGTAACTAGTTACCCCTGTTCAAGGCCACCTGCACTCATAGACATTTAACACACCTCCAAATATTAGTTTTTGGATCTAAAATCAACACAATAAGATAAGCACATGTTATTATAACCCAGTGAGCTTTTTGAAATTCTTAAGGGGCATAACCTCCTTCTTTTTTGGATCTAATTTTTTAAAATTTTAATTGAAGTATACATGATTTACATTATCATAACAGTTTCAGGTGTACAACACAGTGATTCTCACGAGCACTTTCTATAGGCAGAATAACTGGTATTTAACTCAATGGTAGTTCTATGTTTACTGGAGGAAGTTACCATATACATATTTTGAAATAAGATGTTCTGTGTTTTTTAAATAAAACATTTAGTGACCAGAACATTTTCTATGTAATATAATACAAGCATCTGTAATAAAAGTTTTAATTATCTCAAAGTGTTTCATATATAGGATAAATCATTTAGCATCTTAGAGAGTAGATTACTACATTGTTTATGATAGATTACTTGGCTAAGAAATATACCTAATGTGTACATGATAACCATAATAAAATCTTAGTCATTAAAGTCAACCTAAAAATTGGAAATAATACACAATTACCTGAGAAAGCATTCATTTATGTAAAGATTTCTGGGCACACGAATCACAGAAAAGAAGCCAACAAAAATTTTTTTGTTTAAAAAGTGGTTTATGTTAGCATGGAGACCAGTAAAAAGCAGAAGTTTTTGTTGACAATTTGACATTATATTTTCTAAGTGTGTGTGTGTGTGAGTCACTCAGTCACTTCCAGCTTTTTGTGACCCTAGGACTGCAGCCCCACCAGGCTCCTCTGTCCATGGGATTCTCTAGGGAAGAACACTGGAGTGGGTGGCCATTCCCTTCTCCAGGGGATCTTCCTGATTCAGGCATCGGACCCAGGTCTCCTACACTGCGGGCAGGTTCTTTACCATCTGAGCCACCAGGGAAGCCCTTCCTTATCATAATAAATGTTATTTCCAGCTGAACTCACGGATAAGGTGCTTTGAAGTAGCAGTCCTTCGGAGAACAGCACCTCCCTACCCTCTTTTCGGTTCTAGAGACAAGCATATCTCCTCTCCAGGAGAGAGGTGAGGGTCTCCAAAGCAGGAGCAGCAGCACCGCTGTTCTCACCCAGGAGAGAGGTGAGGGTGTCCTCAGCACTACACACAGCAGTGCTCTTATTCTGCAGATAATTTTTAACACTGTTTCTGTGCAATAACGATCTCAATAGACAATAGGTCGTATCAGTGCTGGTTGCTATTTTAAGAAGATTCCTCAAAAAATGATGTTTTTATTAGCAAAGCGTTTGTATTCCCATTTAAAACAGACTGAAAAGTTATCTAGTTCTACCGTACAGTTGTCTTCTTTTGTACCAAAATGTTACATGTTTTTAAAAGAGAGATTCTTGAGATGAGATTATTTCCGAAGAAATAAATGTAATAACAGAAATAAATATAAGTCTTTGACTTACAAATTATCCTCACCCACATATAGATATGGATTTGTGCTTTTCTCTTTAAAAATATATACTACTCATTAAAAATAACACATGAAGATAAATTATCTACATATTTGTAATTCTGCAGAAATTTGCACATGTTCTAATAAAAAATTCTTGGCAAAAATACACCAACTGCCAATTAAATAGATTTAGAAAAATACACCAGCTATTACTGGATTGATTCTAACATGACTACTTGAAGCACAAACAATGGATTTCACAAAACTTCCAAGTGGAGATTTTTTCCAAAATATTATACCGTAAAATAATTTAGGAACTTTTCAAGCAGGCATTTCCACAGCCATATGTACAACTACATATATTAGCTAGATCCCTAAAGCTAATGACCTAATATATCCATTATATTCTTTGGACTGAATTCTGTTCCTCCCCAATGCACTTGTTTCTCCTGCTGGCCTCAGAGGTAGAAATGCCATACTATGTACTTAAGGCCTTTCCTGTGTGCCAATCCCTAGCTCTTGCTAGAAGCAAATATCTGTCTAGTTGAAGTACCTAGTAGCTCAATAAAATAGCAGAGTAAAAAGGAGGATGGAATTTTATACCCACAAGGCTCAAATACAGAAGAACTTTCTTTCACTTATTTCTGCTGACTCAACCCAAACATATTCGTATCTGAGGGTATTCATGAAAAGTATATCTTAGATCAACAGTTCTGGAGGAATATCTTTCTTGTAAAGTATGTCTACTCACATCTACATATATATCCCTGAAAGCCCAAGAATTGGGAAATGGCCAAAAAAAAAAAAAAATCATGGAGGCATATGCTGCATGTATTAGCCACTCTAAAGCAGACTGCAACAGTTTCTTTTTGTTTACTACCAATAGCTGATTTCTGATTTGTATGTGGCCAGCAGCATTACCATCATATCTACTTTAATTCACGAATAATCTTGCCAGTAGTCTTCCTCCCCCAGCTTCCAAATGGCACAACGTCTAGGATTTGTTCCACTATCGTGGCAAAGTAAAATCTATTCTTTTGCTGAGCTTTGTACAAAGACCAATAGGAATCCATTTGCTTGCATTCCACTGCTGAGAAGAAAAACATATAAAGGAACTGCTTTGGTGCTCTTATCTAAGGAAAAATACGGAAAATTTAAAGAGGCTGGCTGCGACAAAATGAAGTGACAAGAGTTCTTCAAATTCGGGGAAGGTTTTAATATTAGCAATTCATTGCCTCCAGTCTAGGATTAAATACAACTCTCTTGAGTCACATAACAGCATGTGGTCCTGTATCCCACAGCATCCTTGCAGCAGGACCAGGACGCTCTCTTGGGGAGCTCTCCCTCGACCCTCTAGCTGGGTTCTCTCAGCTACTCTTCTAGAATCAATGGTCTCCTACTTCTCTGCTAGTAAAACTGACAACTGTTCCTTATCCTAGTATGAACATGAGTCTACCCCACTAGAATGAATGTGAGTCTGTAAAATCAATATGCCCAGTGCCGCATACAATCTGGTCTGCAATTCAGGGGAGCTGCCCTACTGTGCACTGCAGTGCTTGAGCTGGGAAGAGCCTCACTCTCTCAACACTGGGGCTTCTTAGAAACAGTTCTGAGTGGACATCATCACATCCTTCTTTATTCATTTGTTTACACATAAAAATCAGCTCATTTATTGAAAACACACAAGGGCAACAGTCTTTTTTATGGGTTCTATAATTTTACAAGATCTAAATGTTATAAGTATCTGACAATTTTGAAATTTGATGCTCACTGGACCTCCACTATTTAGGGCAACCTTGTTTGAGTTCAAGCTTATGTGTGATACAACTTTCTAACGAATCCTGACCTTTGTTTGAAACTGACTTCTCTTGGGTCTCCTCCAGAGCTGTAAGACTATAATTAACTTTGGCAGATTCCAAAACCCCTATAACTTTTCATGTCCCATGACTTTGGAATACTACTGTTAGTGAATATTTTTCTGCTTTTTTTGGAAAAGGTCTTAGATCTGTGCTCAAGATTTTTTTTCAAAAAGTAGGGGAAAAAAGAAAATATAATTCTATTGGTGTTACAATTTCTATAATAACTCTTAATATTGGCTCTTTCTAATTGGGTCAGAGTTTAAAAAATTTTAATTTGTACCAAATGAAATATATGTTTTGTATTTGATCCTGGAAGCCCACTTTGCTCCATTTTAAGACACATAGGAGCAGACCACAACAATTTTTTTTAACAATTTTTAAAAATAGATATAAAAAATTAAATATTATGATCGCTAACTCTGACTTCGTTACTGAAGAAAGAAGTCTTCTTCTTTTTATCTTTGTGAGAAGACTTTCTAAGAAGTGTTCTACACTTTCCATTGCCTATAAATGGGCATGGCTTAAATAATTTAAACATGTCAATATCTATCACATCATAGAACTGCCTTTCTTCTACAGAAAGAGTGTTTTCTGATTTTACAACCCTGGATAACTGTTTCTCTAAATATGAGATGGGAAAGGAAAAGAGAGCTAACATTTTTTGAACTTTTTGAGTCACTAATGTAATTCATTCACTCTACAAATATTTATTGAATTGTTCTTTTTTTATTGAATTGTTCTTACATGCCAAGCTCTGTGCCAGGCATATACGACACACCTGATGAGCAACACAGATAATTCGGAACAGGATACAGGCATTGAACAAATAATTACACACAAAATAATTTATGTTCATGTATAATACATGTAATGAAAGAAAAGTATAATGTGCCATCAGAACATACAACTTGAGGACCTACACTAGTCTGGTCTTCAAAGTCTTCTAAGGAAATGACATTAAAGCTTGAAGCCTGAAAGATCAGCTGTTATCTAGGTAGGAACTACATCTTTAGGTATAAGATAGTGAAGAAATCATAAAGCAGGCTGGGAAGGAGCACCCAAAAATGAGGAAGAAACACAGGAGAGTGCAGTCAAAAACCTAAAAGATGGTGTTGCAAGAAAACAGGTGAGCTCTCTTTGAGAACACCCTCAAAGTTCAAATGACTGAAGAGAAAAGAAGGTCTATCAGATTCAGTTGGCAAGGGAACTTCCCTGACAGTCCAGTCGTTAAAAGACTCTGCACTTTCACTGCAGGAGGCATGGGTTTGATCCTTGGTCAAGGAACTAGGATCATTTAGCATGACATGGCCCCCCGCCCAAAAAAAAAATTAGTTGGCAAGGTA